AAAACAGTCTATAATAACTTCTCTATTATTAAAAATTGTAAGTATAAAACTGAAGTATAATTTTACTTACGTTTTGCAAGAGTATTGGAGGTATTGGACCGTCTCTTTGTGACTCGATCACTGATTACTCGCAAAGAGCGATCGCGATTTCTTCCCGTACTTGTCGCGAACACGTAACAAAAAAGACTAATACGATATGCGGAACGGCGCGGGTATATAACAGACTCGTTCAATTGTCGCCGCGTGAATCACGTGAACAATCCCTGCGTACGGCGTGACCTTGTTTCGCTGAGCGCCGGAGCGCCGTAAACAACTCGGTCGAAGAACAGCTAGTCTATTGTACCGAAATATTCGGCGCGAGTCAGTCGAGCGAGGTAGACGTTTCGCGTGTGTTCGCGTCGCTCGTCGTAACGCGATCATTTCCTACGAGATTCTCGATCGTCTCGTACGCGGTAATTCGTCGAGGTGAATATCACGCGTAATTCGAAGAGAAAATGCGATCAAAAGCGCAAGGTAATATCTCTAACAATTGTACGAACAAAAGTGCGCGTATAACAAAGTTTCTATTTCCGTCGCGTTCGGGAGTGCCGTTTAAATAATCGAACCGAAGACTTTTTAAAGCCCATTTGATCAAGTATTCATTAAATGTCCGTTCCTGTCGATGGCTACACTTCCGAGATTTGGCAGTTTTTGGAATATAATACTCGCCGACTCGAAGTGGAGGCGAACTTGACGGAACAAAATTGCGTACTTTCAAATGGGCTTTGCAAACGGGAGTGTACAATCGCGCGAACGATCTTTGTGTTTTCGCGAGTGTGCTCGGAGGACCATCCGAGTGGAGGAGGAGGCCCAGGGAGGCATCGGGCGCCGGCGGAGCAACTTTACGGTAAATGTTTTTTATTTAGTGTAAAATTAATTTTTTTTCCAGTTCATGTTTTAGTCGTTTTATGTCACAATTCTATAATTTTCGAAATAATAATTAGAGAACAAGGAATAATTTAAAATCTTATAAAAGTTTATTCTGGTGAAGTGCTTTGCGGAAAATCTTTTACGCATTAATAATTTAAATGTCAAATCAAATAAAACGTTTAATATACCTAAGAATAAACTTATATTTTACAATATTAATTTTATGAACATTGCTTTAATGGATCCTATATTTTATGTTACAGAATCAACGTGCCCGACTCCGCTGCTGCGCGTCGGATGGTGAGTCGGAAACTTTTTTATTCAGACAACAAATCTACATCTTGTAGATCGTAGATAGTAGATTAGTATATCTCGTAGATCCGTTGTCTCAAGTGGATAGAGTACAACATAATTTTATTTTTATATATTGCATCTATCGAAAGGGAGTGATTTTTACTGCAGAGGGTTGGGTGCCCTGTTGCAGCACATTACATAGTTTCACGCAAAATATGACGAATATTATTGATGTATTCGTCGAGCTAATCTCTTGTAGCCTATCCATTTTTCATTAACAAATTTATATGTAAAATAAAATAATATGACGTGAGATTCTAATATATTTTATCGAGAACACACTGAAATTTTAACTTATTCTTATATATTATGTACGATTATTAATTAATTATAATATAATATGTAATTATGGAATCGTAAAAGAAGTTTCGTTTTTCTGGATCTCACATCATTTATTCTGTGTATGTATGTACATACGTGATATACGTATTTTCAAAATGCGTCTCGCGCATGAATACATGCATAGTCACACTCATCTTTGTATTATCGCGGTCGGTTTTCGCGAGTCGGTTTTTCAAGAAAATTTTTCAAGACATTATTAATTGTTTCATTTTATCCATATTATAAATTTTAATTTACCGTGGAATATGATTAAAATCACGCGAAGTAAATTTTTGTCTATATCTACTTGAATTTCGAATTCAAAGATCAAGTTACGAAGAGATAGTTAATATTTTTGAATAAATAACGGAAGTATAATAAAAATAAATTTGATTCGTATTTACAGTAAAGTTTTTGAATTAATATTCTGCTTCAATTAACTTCGCGTCGCCGTGCATTTTGCGATACGATCGACACTCGTATATTCGAACCGTACGAAATATTTGTCGGTGACGATAACCGACTATGGAAGGAGTTTTCTTCCTTCCTGATCTCTGGTCAAAATGACCAGATTGTATGGCCGGGAGCAACGAAAGGTATGTCCAATCTGGCCCAACGAAGGACTAAATGCGACGAGGTAAGTGGTCAACATTGGCCACTCTGATGGAGTAAGCAAGGTGCTGTACGAAGTATAGCTTTGATTTCTTTTTATTTGTTATAATTCGGGTGGGTCATGCTTTTATATACATATCTACATTCTCGCATATGTGCGAGAGTGAAAGCCCTATTAAATTCCGTGGGCGCGTTAAATTCCAAGTCAAACCCCTAAAAAATCGCGTCGGGGTTAATTAAAGATTTGTAGGTTTATTATATTGAAACACGAGTAGGTAGAAAATGGATAGGTAGGTCTATAGATCGGAATACGGGTAGGTAGTGATTCGATTAGTCAAGGATAAGGGGACAATTCGATAGTTTAAAAGATTAGGTAACATAAATTAACAAAGTAACAATAACTTTAATTTCGTGTTAATGTACATACAGTGTTACAGCAACATACAGGTCAGTATTACGGGTTGCCTTTTCGTGCAGGCGCGCGCGGTCGTTTAGAACTGCGTTATAAATTGTCGCGAGAGTAGCGTCAACTGTATTTTTTTAATACGCCAAATTCATAATGCAGTTATAAACGACCATGCGTGCCTGCACTAACAGGCAACCCGTCATACTGATCTGTATGTCGCTGTAACACTGTATAAATTTTTTAAATGATTAGTAAGATTAGGATTTTGTGCGTTTATTTGTTTTAAAAAAATGTAGAATAAACAAGATTGCCCAAAATGTTGAAGATCTTATATTTATTTAATACATTTCTTTATATATTAATATACATGTGTGTATGTGATATCAATATGTTATATGATATATTAATTGGACATTGATTCTCGCAAAGTAGCTATGTTTCGAGGAACAAGAGAACATCAATATATTGAATATTTACAAAAGTACAAAAGTTTACAAAACATCGACTACTATACAGCAAATTCTTCTAATCATATTTTTATAACTTTTCACTTCTACATTCGGAAGTAGCCTTAAAGACACAGAACTAGCGTAACATAGTCTTCTAACTATCTAAACTGTATTCGACTCGTATTCTTTACTTATTGTTTTATTATAATTAGAAAATCAGACTTTTACTTCTTCGGAAGCAGTTAACTGGCAGTTACTGCTTGCAGTCTAGGCCTTACAAGTGTTTATTGTTTTTTTATTGGTATTATTTTCTCGGTTACAAAATGATTCTTTTTGATCAATATTCATATTTCTACTTGAATTTTCTATAAGATAAATTTGCAGACGATATGAGGTCTTTATGAAATTTTTATCACATTTGCACAAGATAAAATTATTTCATGAGACGTAATCACAACTTAATTTCTACAAGCAATAAATATATCTTTAAATATACCATTAATTTCTACAAGTAATAAATATCTTTAAATATATTTTTAAATATACAATCTTTAAATATACAATTGTATAGATTTGTGCTACATTATTTTGATTTTGATACAACGGAACCTTGTGAATGTCTTATCTTGCTCAGTTAATATCCGGTTAATGAAAATTGTTGTTGTCAAGATTTTGCGATGTAAGTATTGCGGTTAATTCTAGTCAAATTCAATTAATGAAACAAATAAAGTTAAAGCCTTATGCAAAAGAATTTTTGTATACAACCATTTATATAATTTAATTTTTACATACAAATACTTATTGTTATTCTTTGTATTTATTCAAAACGTTAGGTGTACTTGAGTTATTGTTGACGTTATACGTTTAAGAGCATATTCACTTAAATAAAAAGAATACATATTAAACTTTGCACTCATCTACAAATGTTCTATTCGTATTGTAAGTCAAAATTTACATCTCTATATTAATTTACATCGTAATTTTCGATTAAATAATATTAAAAATTTGATATGCCTTTTATAAAGAAAGATAATTATTTCTTCGAGATAGGAAGATTGCAAGACAAATTGCACGTACTCAATATGCACTATTTGATTACGTAATTATTTCTAATCACTATTTTACTTTTTAAAACCTATTATTGTAATGAAAAAAATTTTAACAATTATTTGGTAATTGTTTTATACGTTATGCCACGTTTAATTGCAGCTTGGTAATTGGTTAACATTAATCAAATCAAATTTTGGGAGAATTACATTCAATTTACCAAAGAAATTTTCTATTAACATTAACTCTGTATCCGATTAACTTTTTTCCATCAAAGTGATTAGCCTTACGTACACAAAATTTCTTTAAAGTATACGGAAATCTAAAATTTCTTGTGATTTGTTATAAAATTCTTATAAATAATATACTTATAGATTTGTTTGCACCTTACGTAGTATTGATAGTATATTAATAGTAAATTTCTATGAAAAAAATTTAAAAGTAAGGCTCAATTTCTCATACAAAATTTTTATGAAAAGTCTTATTGCATTTATATCTGATATACAATAGGTGTACTACAGAATAGGTATTTATATTGTGTAAAAGTTTTTCTAATACCATTTAAAGTTAAGAAATGTTCCCGAGCTTGATTTAAAAGAAAATTTCACGTCTCCTGTGTAGATACTATACATGTATGAAAACGTACTATTAAATCAATATGACTTTCGTGTGTAATGTGAAATCGAAGCGCTTGTAAATAATGTTATGCAATATTATCTGTCGTTAATTTTCATAAAATGTATTTGTAATTAGAATTAGATGAATTATAATGTGCTTTTAAACACGATAAGTGTTTAATAAACAAATTGTTTTGTCTGTGAAAAATTTTTATGCTAAGAGATGACCTGTCTATCAAATTTGATGGATCCATTGGGGTTCTAATGACGTTCCCGTGAATCTTCCTTGTGAGTGCTGTGCCTTCGTGATTCTTGACCGCTAGGTGTAACAGGTCGTCTTTTGGATCTTTTGAATTTAGCGATATCCTCGCCGAATACATCGCCAGTTCGAAGAGCGGATATTAAATCGTCGAATTCACCTTTATTATCGTGCTGTTGTCCGTTACTGTTTGCTTCATTCTTCTTACTTAGCGATATGCTGTTTAGTATACCCTCCCGCGAGTTCTTCCTCTCTATCGTTCTCTTTCGGAGCTGCAATAATTACAATATAATATATTATTTACGTCTTATGCATGTGCCGATGACATACAATATAATGATAATATCGCTTACTTCCTGTTCTTGCTTCGCCCTACGTTCCTCTTCTTCGATTTTCTTCCTCATATTTTCTACATCTTGTCTCGCTTCCGTTAGAGCTTGTAAAAAATTTTCAAAAATGCCAAAGAATTCATCTGGTTGAACGCCAGCCGAATCTTCACCGAACAATCTCACTGCTCGATCAAACTGTTTCGACGAAATAACAATCAGATATTTATCAATCAGATATTTATCAAAACTACACTTGACACAAATTATTTATTTTTTACCCTTGTTTTCATGTCTTGGAATAAGTCTTCTGCCTCTGCTAATCTACATGTGGCTTGCGCCTGGAAGTCCCTCATCGCCGGTAAAAACATGTCACCTTGAAGCACTTGAGATTGACCCCGATGAAATTCTGAAAAATAAATAAAATGGAAATAGCACAGATGATACAATAATAATTTATCTACTTTCTTCGCGCGCGCGCGCTTTCAGAAGAACAGAAGAACTTTAGTAAAAGGGGAACTGTCTTTCTCTTTTCGAAGTAACCATAGTTAATAGTTTAAAAATAATCAGAAACCAGATGAAAACATTATTAGACGACCTGGCAGATGGTTTATTTAACGCAATAAATCAAAACAATTAAGTCGAGTCTGCATGTATAGTGCGTCAGATCTTACAAGAAAAAACTGTAAAGGTTCTTTCAAATTAGTTCACTGTTTTTAATTTATATACTGGCGACAATAGATGTTTCTTCTTATCAATAATCAGAAACTTTTAAGTTTTCTCGGTTGTATTTTTAATTCCACTTTTTATGTAAATCGCAGTCAGTTGGCATAAAACTCAACTATTATATAACCGTCAGTTATTACCTATTTCTCTTTGAACATCCTGCAATCCGTTTTTCAAGTTGGCCACTTCCTTCTGCAAATCTGCCATACTAACTTTAGCAGCAGTTTTAACGTGTGGCATATCCTCTTCGATTTCTAAGACCTCTCTGAATCTGGCTTCGAGAATCTGCACGAGATAATGTAGCAGAGTCGTACCCTTGGAGCAAGAAGACTTTGTGTCGACTAGACGATTCAAAGAAGCTAATCGAAAGCCGCACGCGTTACCCCGCGCATTCCCGCGATTTACATAATTTCCCAATGCTAAGACTAATTCCAAAAGTTTTCTGAGTCTTCTTGATCTGGCCACTTGTCGGCTTGCTTCTAAAACTGCCCGCATCCTCGGCGTCAGTTCCGCAATGCTAGCTGCGAATTTTTTCTTGTAATGAAGAGAACGCAATCTCTGTTCATAATGTGGCACCCTAAAGACAGAAGAGATTACATTTCCTTCGTTCAATGTTTCATTGATCTGCCGTGTATGTACATACATGCATATAAAGAAAGGCGGACACTTCTAAATCTCTTAATAGCTAATCAATCGTTAATTAAATCGATTATCATAATCTTAAAAGAAGAGTCGGAAAGAAGGTGATAACATAAAAAAGTACAACGCACTTTGATATTTGATATAAGAAACAGTCAGCCCTGTTTTGCAATTCCTTTTGATGGATATCTAACGAAGCAGCTTCTTCCGAGGATGGTATGTACTTTAGTAGCTGCTCCACCATATCGATGTGTAAAATATTTTGCTGGTCCATCGACAGTATCGTTCTGGTAATCTCATTATCGGACATCTTCAATTTCGACAATAGTATAGTGCAATTCTGCGCTCTTCTTGAATCGATTACCGACATCGTCTTCTTATTCTTTCCTAATGTCCTCAAGTCTTCTATCGAGCCTTCCGTGGAAACGCCATTCTTTTGATAGGCGCAAAAGATTTTATCAATGGACTCGAGATCCATTACGTTGTATAGCTTCGTATCGTCCAGCTCTGACCATATTGTACCCTGCAATTTCTGCTCAGGTATCTTCGACCAGTTGAACGATTTCAAAGGATTACTCGGTTGTGGGACATTCTTTATTATCTCCACCTACAATGTGCAGCGAACGATGCAAATTAAATTATTTCCGATTAAGGAAAATCGTGTAATTAGTAAATTATTCTAGCTGATTGCCGATCATCTTAGATTTTGCCACACGTACTGTTCTTTTAAACTATTGTTAAATATTAAATTTTAGTATACGTCTAGTAATAACCTTCATGGGTGGAGGAGCAGCCGGCATTAGGCAAGGAGGTGGCGGGGGCGCTAATGGAGGAGGCGGCGGTGGTGGCGGGGTGGGTTTAGCCTCTAGCTTCTCGAGTACTTCATCTTCGACAATTTTCAGAGTAGCCTTCGCGTCGTCTGGCAAACTTCCCGAGGCTACTAGTTGCTCTAGACGTTTCCTCTCGGATTTCTCGTTGTTTATTTGTCGCGACAACATCTCCAGATTGTCTTGCAATTCAGAAATTTTTTGTTTTGTCTCTATGTGCATCGACGTCTCTTTCTCAAGGCGTTCTTTGATTCTTGCTAGACTTGCTTCCATATCTTCCTACAAATAGATAATCACACATTACGACTATTTACTATTTTATGCAGCGAAGAAACGGATAACACCGATCGGTAAATAACGATTCAAGTTATATTGTGTCTAACAACAAGATGTAACAATAATTCAATCTGAATGTGTTTTTCCTATTATTATCAAGGGACGTCGATCTTAATATTTTTTATCGATATTAATAATTTAAAACGCTTCTTGTACGCGTATAGTTTTGGTAAACAAATTGAACCAAGCAAATAAAATTCTTTTCATATGTAATGCGTGAGTGAATATCTTTCATAAATAAAATTTTGCTATCAGTGAAGAGAATCGTAAGAGATTCGTCACGATTGAAAAGTAGAATATTGACTTCGATAATACCTTTTCCTGAGTCCTCAAATCTAGTTCTTGCTCCTTTTTAGCCAATCTCGTGGACATGTCCAAATTTTCGCGTTCCATTTCTTCGGCCTTTTTTCTTGCTGCCACGAGTTCCTCTTCTTTTGCGAGAAGATGAACGATCTCTTTCACATTTATTTCAATCGGGGCCACATCGGGATTTCTCACTAATCCCGTTTCGTTGCTTTCGGATTGTAAAACGATCTGCTGAACGATCCGATCGAACAACAACCAATGTTGAGGATGCGAGCCGTAATCCACTAGAAAAAGAAAATTAATTTGCATCATGGGGTATGGTCTTGAATAAAAATAAAATCTTTGAATTGAAAAACTCACGCGGCAACAAAAGACAATGTTCAAGTAAGCTAAGAAGATGAGGATAAGCAGCAGTGTGGCTGAGTTTCCGTCGCAAAAGATCGAACATGGCACTGGCACTCTTAGTGTCCACGTGTTCCTTCTCGAACTTCCTGGCGAGTTCTTTCTCGTCTTCATTTCGCACCATTTCAAAAAAATCGAGATGCCTATCGAGCGTCTCATTCTCGTATTTTCTTAGTTTCTCAATAATAGGCTGGATGCCGAGCATCAATAGTTCATATCTTAGGTGTAGCCTAAACTCTAGTGTCACCTGGCCAGGTCCGTAGTTTAGCACGGCATTGATAAACGACATGATCGCTGTTTTCAGAGATAAATTGTCTTTATAAATGCCGAAGTTTTTGTCAAGATCGTTGATTATACACTGGAAGCGCGTTCTCTCGGAATGATACTGTTGGAAGTGCAACATGGCCTCTAGAACTTTGCGGTGACCGCCTGGCACCAGACAAACTGCACCGAGAATCTCCAGCACAGAGATTTTCGTCTTTATATTCTCAGACGCGAGCGACTGTGATATCGTGTTAATTGCCGTTGGATGTGCCAACACGTGCGCTCTACCGTTCTAGAAACAAATATCAAGTAAAATATAACGTGGCAGAAACAATACGCTTAAAAAATTCCTCTTGACGAAATTAATTCCAGATATATCGTTAAACGATGATTCATTAATTATCATTTTTTTTCCCAAATGTATGAAACAATTGGACAAGATGCTTATTTGACCGAGTATTGTCAATATGTATTTTTAAACGCTTGCTATACGTGACAGTACTCACCGAATTGTTCATTAAAGCTTTTAAACATCCTATAACACTAGTGTGGAGATTGCTGTTAGCTGCTTCAGTGTCCATAGTTCCTAATACTTGTAATAAAGCGTTTAAGCCATTTAGTTCTATAAATCTGAGAACGAAGCTGTGCGGCTGCGTCCTCAGGGCAGTCTTTAGAGCTTCTGCTTGACGCATTTGATTCGATATCTCCTCGTCTTCCTCCGGGAAAGGATTCTGTACACACAACATATGCATATGCTATTGTACCAAGAACATATGTACGTGTCAGAGATAAAATCAAAACTACTTTGCAATTGATTAATCTTCCGGCAAAATAATTTCGAGCAATCTTATTATCGTAAATCTATAATACGCAGTGTACGCTACAGGGTACGATATAAAAGTTGTTATGTATTGTGCAAGCTTCTAAAAATTATCACGGCAAAAGCATATATGTATCTTGCGAGTTTTCAATTTTTTCGCGACCCTGTTTTATCTATCAGTCTATTTCATAACTTTGGTTCGTCTCTATTCTTTCTACATGTACCCGTAACATATCTAGTTTCAATAAGTAAACTTTGTTAATAATATTTTTCCATAATATATTTAATGCAAACGTTCATATAATTCCATTTAAAAAAACAACTGTTCCGTATTGCTTATTTTCCTAAAAGTAAAATTAATTTTAGAAAGAGCAACTTTTTCGAACACATTTGATATACGTATAGAAAAACTTGTTTAATTTGAATCTGCTTAAAGTACTAATGCAATACTTTATGCATGCAAAGAAAAAACAAGAGAACAAATCACCAACGATCGATAATTGCAACATTAATAACCGTAGATTCTTATTCGTTCAATTTTATTCACTCACACTCGCTATCGTCCTCAATCTATTGATATAGTCCTCGGGATCGCCGCTAAGGTCAGTGGTGCGCAAGCCACCGTTGTCCAACGTGCCATTTCCTTTTCTGGAACAATATATCTGCCACTTTTTATTAGCTGGAAGTGCCAAAACTGCTTGCCGATTGGTTTGAGTTAGGTCGAGTTCGTCGACGAGCTCGAGGAACATTTTATTCAGCTCCTCCTCAGCCGGCATTGGTAAGGTCGGCGTCATTGCTTGTAGCGTGAGTGTACCCGTGTGTTCCACAACGCAATACGTGATTTCCGGTGGCTCGTCATCCTACGAGGAGCAACCAGATTTAGCATCCTGTCATGCACGATATGCAAGCAATGTTGTATCGATCAATGCGAAGAAGGTACAAAGTAATAGTCTTCTTGCTTTAATTTTATGCATTGAGCATTGCCAGCGTGAATTGTCTTGTTTTCTGTTTTCGCGTATGCGTTGCTTGTGTGCGAAAAATGCAATATCTATAATACAAAATTGTTGCAGACACATTTCCGCAACTTTATTTGTGTATTTAATATGTTATCTATAATAGTTACATTGACGTGCGGTTTAATACAAATGTAGAGTTCCGGGGAATACAGATAGCATATAGCACAGCGATCAATAATGCAACCGGCTCACCCTTGCCGCAGTTCTTTGCCACTGGACTTGGTTTTCAATTAATAAACTTTCTTTAGACGGGGGGGGCGTTGCATATGTTTTTCCATTGATATATTGAATTATGACACACATTTGTCGCGATCATTGGTGACCGATATTCGGTCTTTTTATTTACGCTCTGCTGATCATTGGCGACGTGGGGTGATTGTCACATAAATATCAAATATATTCTTATGCAACTCAATGCTACATTGTCCTTAATATAAAATCATTTAACCTGGCGTAGATGGAAAACCAGCTAAAATACGCGTGACGTTGAAAGTGTTAATAAAATATTATTTATACGAAAACAGGAAAAAGTTGTCGATCCTAAAAAGGTACTAACAATTGTCAACGTGCTTATACGAAGCTCCACGATTATTACATAGTTAAAAATAAATGCTGCGTTTTTGTTGGCCATGGTATAATCTTTTATCCTGCAATAATTAAAAATGCAGTAATTATAGACTAAAGTAAAATTGCAAGCTGTTTGTTAATACTGATAAATCTCCCTCTATCTCTCTCTAACAACGTTATATAACTTGAAGACTTTGTACATACACAAAAATTCCATCTTCCTTAAATATGTTAAGACATTTAAGTACGATTTTCTTTGCATTCAAATTTTACACAGAGAATAAAGGCGTACAGCACAATTACAGGCCTATTTTAATTGATAATAATTTAACCGACATAATTTAGAAAAGATCAGATTTTGACGCCAATGTTGAGCGATAATAATAGAACGACACCGCTTATGGGATTACGGGGCGATAGAAAATATATTGTTCCGTATAGCAATGGAATTGTATTGATCTCGATGCTCAATCTATTTTCACTATTGCGTGCTCGTTTTCGCTTCTCCGTGTTTCTTATTGTTAGTCAGTCGAGAACTAGCAGCGGCAACGGCAGCAAAGGTCAGGGGACCGGCTCAGGCGTTTGGATTCCTGCGGTACTTTCACACGTGACTAAGAAATTACCTATTCAAGTATCAGACGTCGATTTATTCCCCGCAAACATCATCTTTGCGCGATCGTCACGGTAAGAGATCGCGCGCATATACATACGGACCGTCCGGAATGTCCGAAGGAATCTTGCCCCCATCGTTTCCATTCCGAAGATTTTTTTACATACGTACGTATTCTCGGCGCTGCATGGGAAAAAGGTATGCCTGCGCGTGAGCGTCGCGATGCCAAAAACCGCTATCAAACGTGACGTATGACTTGCGCTTGTATGAGTTTGCGGGGAAAACAGGATCGTACGTACAGTGAGATTTAAACATAGATGATCAAACGTGTTATTATTATTCGCTTGAATTTAAAAACGGAAAAATAATTGTGTTATGATCATCCGTGAGGAAAACCTGTCCACATATCGTTAACACGTTTCTGTGATATTTTAATATTATTATTGGCAAATATTTATTTAGAAATAATCAATCATGTCTGTCACAAGAGTATGGTTCATTTGCACAATTTTGTAGAAATAATAATCTAGTAATCCTTCGTTTAAGCTTTTATCACTGGTCACTAGCTATTAGTTTGCATAAAAGTTTTACTTATTGTTATAATATTACCTGCAGGCAGCCACAAAACGATTTCTTCACTCGTGACGGCATGGTTTGACAGCGGCCAACAAATTCTTTCAGGGGCTGCGAACTTTTCACTGGACAGTTTGGAATCCTCTGTAATTCATAAGACACTTCATATATCATGTGTTATAATGTGTGGCGTTACGGCATCAATAATTAAACTGTGTTTTATTGAGAGCTCGTGGAAAAATTTCACGACGAAAGCAGTCGAAAGAGGATAAAGTTGTATCGCAGAAATTTCGCGTATCCCCCTCTCTCATTCTTTATAATGTAACGTAGTGTCACATACCCAGTAATATTATATGTATATTACAGCGTCAGAAAACGGGAGTAAGCAGTTTTACAAGTAACATCGTATTGCACATCAATTTCGTAACAGTCGTTTTATTTTTTGCTACAAAGTAACAGAACTTTTACATTTAGCCGTTATGTACTTATAATGTAAGCGTTTAGACACTTGTAATATACAGGGTGTTTCAGGGTAAAGTGTCCTAACTTAAAATATGAACTTAGGACCTCAAAACAAGAAAAAACTTTCCTCTGGAGACATGTCCGTAAACGCTTTGTTTAAGAGATATTGACATCTAAACATTTTTTCATTATAAAATTTTATGAAATTGTTATCGGGTTATAATAAATAATTTAATAGTGTGCTTTAAATACTTTATTATTAAAAAATATGAAAATTTTTACTTAATTATAAATTTTGTTTTAAGTGACGGCCTTGAACATTGAGAAAGGCTTGACATCTGTCTTTGACGGTAGCAGTGGCAGAGCGGCACTGAATAGCTGTAATTGTTTCACATGCTTGAATAATTCTTCCTTGTAAAGAATTAATGTCATTAACCGGCTTTTCGTAGAATTTTTGTTTAATAGTACCCCAAGCAAAAAAATCCAATGGTCCGTCAAATCCGTCAAAGACAGATGTCAAGCCTGTCTCAATGTTCAAGGCCGTC